GTTCACATTTGGGCATACTGAGTATTCATGCCAAGTTTGGTCCAGATCCATCATTGCATGAATCCACAGTGCTCCTCTGGATATAGGTGAACTACAACTCCCAAACTCAAGGTCAATGCCCACAAAACCCTTCCAGTGTTTTCTATTGGTTATGGGAGTTCTTTGTGCCAAGTTCGGTTTAAATCCATCGCCGGTGGAGTTCAGAATGCTTTTTGATTATAGGTGAACCATAAATCCCAGCAACTACAACTCCCAAATTACAAAATCAATCCCCCCCCCAACCCCACTAGCATTCACATTTGGGCATATTGGGTATTTGTGCTCAATTTAGTCCAGTGAATGAAAATACATCCTGCATATCGGATATTTACATTACGATTTATAACAGTACTAAAATGACAGGTATCAAGTAGCAACGAAAACAATATTATGGTTGGGGGTCACCACAACATATGGAACTGCATTAAGGGGTCACGGCATTAGCAAGGTTGAGAACCACTGCCCTAAACGGTTCTGGTCTAGACTACCTCTCCGAATGTATCTCCTGTTACGAACCATCACAAAGCTTAAGATCGTCAGGAGAAGCCCTGCTCTCGATCCCACCACTTTTGCAAATGCAGTTGGTGGGGAGGAGAGACAGGGCCTTCTCAGCAGTGGCCCCTGTCTGTGGAACTTTCTTCCTCCACCTCCCTCCTGTCCTTTAGAAGACAATTGAAGACTTGGCTTTGGGACCAGGCGTTTAGTTAGTGGACAGCGGCAACTGAAAAGAAAACTTAGGATATCTGCGACATTTGAATTTTCCCTGACTTGGATTTGGTTTTAATTGGCATGTTTAATTTATTGTTTAATGAGTTGTATAATGTGTTTTTAATTATTGTGAATGTTTTCAATGTAATTTTTGATTGTTTATATGCATAGGATGCTTGTGTGAGGCCGCCCTGAGTCCCCCTTTGAGGGGGGGGAGGGGGAGAAGGGCGGGGCAGAAATGCATGCAATACATAAATAAATACATAAATAGGTGCTATAGATGAAGAAATGTGCTCTATAGAGCCAACCCCAGTTTGTGTGTCAGAACAAAACCCAAACAAACTCCAAAGCAAAACAAGACTCAGGCTGGCTTTATACTACCCCATATCCCAGATTATCCGCTTTGAGCTGGATTATATGAGTCTACACTGCCATTTGGGACCAGCAGATCAGATGGATTCAGATCCTGGGATATAGATAGGGCAGTGTAGGTCAAGTTTGGGTCTTGAACGCCTATCTTTGGCAAGTTTGCCCTGCCAACTATAGGGAAGAAGCCTTTCTCTTCCTTCTTCGAACTACAAGAAAGTTGATTCCACCTGAACATTAGGAAGAACTTCCTGAGTGTGTGAGCTGTTCAGGTATCTTCCAACCCTATCATTCTATGATCTCAGAACTTTTGACAGTGGGAGCTGTTCAGAAGTGGAACTCTCTGCCCCGGAGTGTGATGGAGGCTCCTTCTTTGGAGGCTTTGAAACAGAGGCTGGATGGCCATCTGTTGGGGGTGATTTGAATGCAAATTTCCTGTTTCTTGGCAGAATGGGGTTGGACTGGATGGCCCATTAGTTCTCTTCGAACTCTAGGATTCTATGATTCTAAGACTAGGTCTATACTGCCCTATATCCCAGATTATCTGCTTAGAGCTGGATTATATGAGTCTACACTGCCATTTGGGACCAGCAGATCAGCTGGATTCAGATCCTGGGATATAGATAGGGCAGTGTAGGTCAAGTTTGGGTCTTGAACCCCTTTCTTTGGCAAGTTTGCCCTGCAAACTATAGGGAAGAAGCCTTTCTCTTCCTTCTTCGCACTACAAGAAAGGAGATTCCATCTGAACATTAGGAAGAACTTCCTGACTGTGTGAGTTGTTCAGCAGTGGAACTCTCTGACCTGGAGTGTGGTAGAGGCTCCTTCTTTGGAAGCTTTTAAACATAAGCTGGATGGCCATCTGTCAGGGGTGATTTGAATGCAATATTCCTGCTTCTTGGCAGAATGGGGTTGGACTGGATGGCCCATTAGTTCTCTTCCAACTCTAGGATTCTATGATTCTAAGACTAGGTATATACTGCCCTATATCCCAGATTATCTGCTTTGAGCTGGATTATATGAGTCTACACTGCCATTTGGGAACAGCAGATCAGCTGGATTCAGATTCTGGGATATAGATAGGGCAGTGTAGGTCAAGTTTGGGTCTTGAACCCCTTTCTTTGGCAAGTTTGCCCTTCAAACTATAGGGAAGAAGCCTTTCTCTTCCTTCTTCGCACTACAAGAAAGGAGATTCCATCTGAACATTAGGAAGAACTTCCTGACTGTGTGAGTTGTTCAGCAGTGGAACTCTCTGACCTGGAGTGTGGTAGAGGCTCCTTCTTTGGAGGCTTTTAAACAGAGGCTGGATGGCCATCTGTCAGGGGTGATTTGAATGCAATATTCCTGCTTCTTGGCAGAATGGGGTTGGACTGGATGGCCCATTAGTTCTCTTCCAACTCTAGGATTCTATGATTCTAAGACTAGGTATATACTGCCCTATATCCCAGATTATCTGCTTTGAGCTGGATTATATGAGTCTACACTGCCATTTGGGAACAGCAGATCAGCTGGATTCAGATTCTGGGATATAGATAGGGCAGTGTAGGTCAAGTTTGGGTCTTGAACCCCTTTCTTTGGCAGGTTTGCCCTGCAAACTATAGGGAAGAAGCCTTTCTCTTCCTTCTTCGAACTACAAGAAAGGAGATTCCACCTGAACATTAGGAAGAACTTCTTGACTGTGAGAGCTGTTCAGCAGTGGAACTCTCTGCCCTGGAGTGTGGTGGAGGCTCCTTCTTTGGAGGCTTTTAAACAGAGGCTGGGCCATCTGTCAGGGGTGCTTTGAATACAATTCTCCTGCTTCTTGGCAGGTGGTTGGACTGGATGACCCATGAGGATTCTATGATTCTAAGACTCAGGCTGGGTCTATACTGCCCTATATCCCAGATTATCTGCTTTGAGCTGGATTAAATGAGTGTACACTGCCATTTGGGACCGGCAGATCAGCTGGATTCAGATCCTGGGATATAGATAGGGCAGTGTAGGTCAAGTTTGGGTCTTGAACCCCTTTCTTTGGCAAGTTTGCCCTGCAAACTATAGGGAAGAAGCCTTTCTCTTCCTTCTTCGAACTACAAGAAAGTTGATTCCATCTGAACATTAGGAAGAACTTCTTGACTGTGAGAGCTGTTCAGCAGTGGAACTCTCTGCCCTGGAGTGTGGTGGAAGCTCCTTCTTTGGAGGCTTTTAAACAGAGGCTGGATGGCCATCTGTCAGGGGTGCTTTAAATGCATTTCTCCTGCTTCTTGGCAGGTGGTTGGACTGGATGGCCTATGAGGATTCTATGATTCTAAGACTCAGGCTGGGTCTATACTGCCCTATATCCCAGATTATCCACTTTGAGCTGGATTATATGAGTCTACACTACCATTTGGGACCAGCAGATCAACTGGATTCGGATCCTGGGACATAGATAGGGCAGTGTAGGTCAAGTTTGGGTCTTAAACCCCTTTCTTTGGCAAGTTTGCCCTTCAAACTATAGGGGAGAAGCCTTTCTCTTCCTCCTTCGAACTACAAGAAAGGAGATTCTATCTGAATAATAGGAATAACTTTCTGACTGTGTGAGCTGTTCAGGTCTTTTCCAACCCTATCATTCTATGATCTAACAACTTTCTGACAGTGGGAGCTGTTCAGCAGTGGAACTCTCTGCCCTGGAGTGTAGTGGAGGCTCCTTCTTTGGAGGCCTTGAAACAGAGGCTGGATGGCCATCTGTCAGGGGTGCTTTGAATGCAATTCTCCTGCTTTTTGGCAGGTGGTTGGACTTGGATGACCCATGAGGATTCTATGATTCCAAGGCTGGGTCTATACTGCCCTATATCCCAAATTACCTGCTTTGAGGTGGATTATATGAGTCTACACTGCCATTTGGGACCGGCAGATCAACTGGATTAAGATCCTGGGACATAGATAGGGCAGTGTAGGTCAAGTGTGGGTCTTGAACCCCTTTCTTTGGCAAGTTTGCCCTGCCAACTATAGAGAAGAAGCCTTTCTCTTCCTTCCTACAAGAAAGGAAATTCCATCTGAATATTAGGAATAACTTCCTGACTGTGTGAGCAGGTCTCTTCCAACCCTATCATTCTATGATCTAAGAACTTTCTGACAGTGGGAGCTGTTCAGGAGTGGAACTCTCTGCCCTGGAGTGTGGTGGAGCCCCTTCTTTGGAGGCTTTTAAACAGAAGCTGGATGGCCATCTGTCAGGGGTGCTCTGAATGCAATTTTCCTGCTTCTTGGCAGAATGGGGTTGGACTGGATGGCCCATGAGTTCTCTTCCAACTCTAGGATTCTATGATTCTAAGGCTGAGTCTATTCTGCCCTATATCCCAGATTATCTGCTTTGAGGTGAATTATATGTCTACACTGCCATTTGGGACCGGCAGATCAGCTGGATTCAGTTCCTGGGACATAGATAAGGCAGTGTTGGTCAAGTTTGGGTCTTCAACCCCTTTCTTTGGCAGGTTTGCCCTGCAAACTATAGGGAGGAAGCCTTTCTCTTCCTTCTTCGAACTACAAGAAAGGAAATTCCATCTGAATATTGGGAAGAGAGCTGGATTATATGAGTCTACGCTGCCATTTGGGGCCAGCAGATCAGCTGGATTCAGATCCTGGGTTATAGATAGGGCAGTGTAGGTCAAGTTTGGGTCTTGAACCCCTTTCTTTGGCAAGTTTGCCCTTCAAACTATAGGGACGAAGCCTTTCTCTTCCTTAGGTTGGCCAACAAGTGGCTACTCTTGGTCTGGCTTCTTCTCCAAGCCACAGAGAGACTGAAAGGCTCTGGGAGGGCCCTCCCTCCCGCTTGTATATAGGATGGAGGCACCGATTGGCTGCTCCTAAGGGTCCCCCTTGGACCCCCCACCCTTTCCCCCTTCGAGTAAGGCTTTGGGGCGACCCAAACTCACCCTTTCCCAGCACAGGCGCCTCCGCACTGGTTGCCCATCGCCTCTCCGGCAGAAGCCGCATTTCCTGGTTGCTTGCTTTCTTTCTTCCTTTCTTCCTTTCTCTTTCTTTCTTTCTCTCTTCCAAGCAAGGCAAAGCAGGAGGAGGAGGAGGAGGAGGAAGAAGAGGGCACCCGACCCTCCCACCAAAGGCCACCCTGCCCCTGGCAAGCAGGGAGGGCACCCCTCTCACCTGGGAGAGTCGGATTAGGGAGGAAAACACACACCTTGCTCCCCTTGCGAAAGGCAACCACAAGCCTGGGAGGCGTGCCTTGGAAGGAGGAGAGAGAGAGAGAGAGAGAGAGGCTCTTCCTCCTCCTCCTGCTGCTGCTTTCCATTTGGGTCAGCTCCAGAGGGAACTGAAAGCCCATCCATACTGTGGACTTAATGCGCTTTGACACCGCTCGCCCTCCCTAGGGCTGTGGAATCCTGCCAGCAGCAGTTTGGGGCTCCCCAAAAGACTTTCCTTAAGCCCCTTTCCACGCAGCTGTATCAAATCCACTGAGTGTGGACTCAGATCACCCAATTCCAAGCAAATATTGGGCAGAGGGGGGAAGAAGACAGTTCCACCTTGTCTCCTCTGCTATGAATATAATAATATAATATAATACAATACAATACAATATAATATAATTATTATATTGTAATAATATATTATATTATTATAAATATATTATTATTATTAATAATAATACAATATTATTATAGGTTCTTGTGGGTTTTTTCGGGCTATAGAGCCATGTTCTAGAGGCATTTCTCCTGACGTTTCG